ATGTTGTGCAAATTTGAAATCTATACATCAAATTTCACCTCAATATCGAGATTTCAATAGCCACACAGGTGGACATAATTAAGTCAACTTTGATCATGATAGTAAATACAAATATTTGACACTTTGAAACAAAATGACAAATTTAATATACTCACCTTTACATGGGGGAAATTATAAAAAGATAGCTAATTCCGGTCTTTTGGGGAAATGACCTTGAAAAAACTTTTTTTAATCGTTCTGAATCTACAAAAATTTAAGAAATAATATTAAAAAAACATATATATTAATAATCAGTAAAAATTCCTCTTTAACTATATATCAGTTATAATTAGTTGATTTAATTTTAAACTTACTAAAAATATTTTTTTTTTTGTAATTTTTCCTTCAATAAATCTAAAAGTTTCATTTGATTTGCAAAAAGTTTCTTTCGGTTGAAAAAGGTTTCATTTCCGCTGCAAAGGGTTTCATTTTCACTGCAAAAGGTTTCATTTCCACTGCAAAAGGTTTCATTTCCGCTGCAAAAAGTTTCATTTCAATTGCAAAAGGTTTCATTTAATCTGAAAATGCTATATTCGGTATTTTGATGATTTCAGCTACATTATTCACCGAATTTTTTTCAAGTTTCGCATTTGAATATTGTAATGACTTATGTCAAATGTTGCCTATGCAGGTCCACGTCATCGCGTACATACAGCGACATTCGGTATTTTTAAGATTTTAACAGAATTTTTAACGGATTATATTTTTTGGAAGGAAAATGGCAAAATTCGTTCCAAATGGTGGAGGGTATTCAAAATTTGGCCCGGCCGGATTTACAAGCTTTTTACTTGTTTTTTTTTCAAGAATTTTCAAATGTTTTACTGAATGTAATGGAAAAGGGTCTGGCTGAAAAAAAAAAAAAATAATTTTGTTGATTTTATCCATGGTAGCCTTATTTGAAGTGAAGGCACAGCTCTAACTTTTCTGCAATTTCTTATTGGTACGAAAACTAGCATATATGCATATAGTTTGATATAGCCCCCAGATAACGGTACCGCACACTTAGAACCATTTCCCCAAAAATATATCCATATATTTCATTCCCTTATCTTCATCCGTTTGAAAATTATCAAAAATTGTTTTTAACTCCTAGCTATTTACTTATGTCCCACAAATTCTATTTATTCTGGAAACCCATTAAAGGATTACATTAATGCGCTGAATTTCCTTGTAAAAATTTTTATCAAAAACCTTATTATGTTATATCTTCCCATGTAGCTGTACTTTCCAATTTAAAGAAACTCCAAGTCATTGCCTGTGTATGTAACACGTCCAGCCCGTTTGATCAATTCAAGTTTACCTCAAACATTCGATGCCTTGATTTGAATAAATTTCTGTAAATAACTGTTGATTTCGTGTCGAGCCCACACATAAACTAATTTCAATTAGTTCTATGATTAGAAGTGAATAATAAAATTTGTTATGTTTTGTATAAATTAAAAATGTGAACTGCATTGATTGGATACAATCAAAGGTTATTACATTTCATTTATAACCGGTTAAAAATATGCAAAACTGGACAAGTACGGACATTTTTTCCATAGCTGGAAATTAATAAAGTGAACGAGCGATCGAACGAGTGAACGTATTTGTCAACAAAACATAATTTTTTGATTTATTTGAGAAATTAATTAAAAATTTTATTAGAATTGCGGTTTCTAATTGAGTTATCAATATACATTTTACTGAGGACAAAATGAAAAAATTGAGGCGAAATTTATGCATTTGGCAATGCTTTTATTACTTTTATAGAGAAAACTGAAAGAACGTAAATGTTTTTAGTACGATAAACGTTTTTCCCTCTATGATATTGTACAATATTGCAAAACTAGTAGAGTAAAATACTAAAAATTGTTTGAACACCTCACAGGTTAGTGAAAATCGGTTCAGATATAGCTTTATGTATGTTTCATCCGATTTGGTGTTTAATTCACTCACATTCGTAATATGCATTAACAACAATGATATTTCGTACCAGATATTAGATATAACTCAAAACAGTATAAAATGCCTATTAACGTGCAGGGCTGATAATGCGAATATTGGGAAGGCCCATAGATTCAAACCCATTTTAGTCGGTTTCGTTCTTGAAATAATCCAATACAGTCTTGCAAACAATTTACCTTTGGCTTTTGACCGGTGGCATTCGCCCTATACTTAAGCTAATGTACGCTACATATTGACCAATGGCAACTAAAAAAGCCAAGTGTCTGCTCTGTTCTAAACTCTAACCACAAGTGAAATTTCATGTGGATTGCTTTTTAATTGTGACCTGTAGAACGTCGGCATAATCAGGAAAATTGTCAGTTTTTGGCATATTTCAACCCCCAAATATTTTGCAATCTTCTTTAAAAAAACAATAGGCTTCTATTCTGAACCTAACCCCCATGAGATCGGACGATAACTGAGACCCGTATTTAATACAGCCAACAGATACAGTTGCAGTGTGTAAAAAAATTACATAATGTACCATTTAATCGAAAAAATCATGCTATAAATATATAAAAAAAATTTTACAAAATGTAACATAAAAATATTTACAAGAAGTTATTTTCAATTGGTAAGAATTGTAAAAATCAGGTCAGTCTTAATTGAGTTATAAACGTTTAACCTAACCTAAATGTATGTTAATATAGATTACAATCATTTTGCTATATATTCGATGTCTTGCCGATCAGAAGCCACACGTCTTTGTAATACGGCTGGTATTAAATATATTCGCGATCTAACGAAAAAATACGGCTTTGATTGCTCTATAATTATGACTTGTAAAGCAAAGCAAAATTGGGAAATGTTTCTGTTTTTGGTCCATTTCAACCCCAGAACACGATCGTAAGTATGGGATCATAATTGCCCGATTACAAATTAACAAAGACAGATCGATGGATGGACACACATATCTAGACTCAGCTAGATTAGGTAACGACTCGGATTCCTCCGTTTGCTGAGGTTAGCTCGCGGTGGCTAGAGTTCGTCACAGAAATTTATTTCTGTCAGTGATGGGAGTATAAAAAGATCTGTTTATTATCTTTCTGTTTATATCGACCTGACTTTTTAGATGGATCTCCGATATTCGTCCGGCTTCGAGATAAGAGGACTCCCAGCAGCATCCCTTGTCCCTATCTTCAGTGGCTTCGGCAACTCACTGGACTTGACCCGAGTCCTCTTGAGCGGCTTTTGTCAACTCGATCTTTCTTCTTCCTGAATTCACTCACGTATCTTGATGTTGTCCTGGACTTCACTCGCTTCGGCGGTCGTGGTTCCCAAGAGCCGCATACGCAGGCGCGTGTTTTTTCGAGCAAGTAATGCATTACCGAACCAAGGAATTGCGTTTCGTTGGTAGAGCCAGCGACTTCTGTCAATATGTCGAGCTCTATTCAATCTTATAATATCTATATATATAATAACATATAGTGTTTAGGGTATAACTATATCTGCCACATTTTATGGAGATCGGTTCAGATTTAGATTTAGCTCACATTAAGGGTGCAACAATGGTGAATAGGGCTATGATACCATATGATTTTAATTTTTTTATTTTCTTGGCTTAATATGTCAACTTTATTTGTTTATATATGTGTTTTCCTCTCAAAAACAAAAAAAAGCAAATATTCAAATTCGGGTGTTTTCAAAATGTTTATTTCAACGTATGCATCGACAAAATCTACAATTTTTGTAGCGAAAAAAAACCTTTAGATATATAATGAACATGATTTTGAAAAGAAATTTGGATCTTTCATTCTGTTTTCGCGGTTTTCAATTATTTATTCAAAATAAAAGCAACAAGTTGTTTGTTTTTTTATTGTTTTGATACTAATTCTGACATTACAAGCCAAACAGGTAGACCCCTATACTTGCAATTTTTTCAAAGTTAGCCTACCTTCACTTCATTTTACCATGGGTATACCTACTTCGTCATTCCTCTTGTATCATCTCTAAATATTTGTCGTAGACCCATAAAGTATAATGTTGTCGATATAACAAAGTCCGTCTGTCTATCTGTTGAAATCACAATACAGACCACATTATTCGACGTAGAGCTTCAAAATTTGGCTGAACAATTTGTATTGGCATAGATATATCGGTCCACGCTTACGCATAGCCGCCATATGCCGGTACCCCCAATATTCGGTAATTTGATGATTTTTGCCACATTTTTTCACGGAAATGTCTAAAATTGGTATTTGTAGGTCATAATGGGTTCTAGCTTCTGTGGCGAAACATTGAATGTTCAGGTCCACGTTTTCCTATAGCCCCCACCGATATTCGGTACTTTCATAATCCTAGTCTCACAAAACTAATTTGGTAGATGACAAACCTTAAAACATAAAATAGTCCATAGATGTTCCCCTTTTGGTATGTTTATGATTTTTTGTGAAAAGTTTGACAGCATCATCCAAACGGTCTTACTGGTATTTGTGATTTAAAGTGGTACACGTTTGAATTCAGATACTTTTATATAATAATGTATTATTTGTCCAAAGGCGGCGGCTGAACAGTTTTTATTAGCTTTTTATTTTATTATTATTTTTTTGAAAAATTATAGAGAAATGTTATGTAATTGTAATTGATTTTAGTAATTTTTAAGGTTTTGGTGATCTCACTCGCTTGAAGATTACGATATTTGACCAAAATAATCATCATATTGTTATCAGTAATATTGGTTCAGACACAATATACCTAAAATGCATATATTTCAGGGAATCTTAATCCGAAAAATTCAAACATTTTGGGAGAAGGGGAAATTGGACTTGGATTTTTTCTCTGATTTAAGACGAAACGGTAGTAATTTCATCTCGTGGTTGTAATTCTCAGAAACCCCATAACAAACATTTCTGGAATTTCTAAATTTCATTTCACCAGCACTCTCTACGTTTCACTGATAACACACAATGCCAAATACAAAACATATGTACATAGCCGGGTCACACATGTCATTTCTTATCAGATCAACACTCATATGCGTCATTTTATAGTTTATTTTGCTTCACTCATTGTATAACTGTGAATTCTTTTTCATTTTTTCTTTTCGAAATAATTTATTTTACAAATCGCAATAACACTTAAACATAGGCATTAAACATTGGCAACATGGCCCATAAATATCACCGAATCCTTGTGTTTGATGGCAAAGACAAACGGATGATCAGCATCGAATTTCTTTGTACGTGAGAACAGATTTTTCAAACCTAAACCCCAGAGAAAAAAAAAAAAAGAAAATAGAATAAAATTATTTGGCAAACATATTTGCTGACAATCTTCTGTTGGCTACTCACCTCCAGTTTCCAATGGCTGCTCTGAGCCGGTCTCCGAAACATCAACATAGGCCTTGTGATTGGCACTGTTGATGTAGTGGCTAACAAACATACGATACATATTGCCAAAGTCACCTTGGCGTGTAAACATGGTAGTGACACCCAACTGTGAAAAGGTATAAAATTTATTGTGCCTCCAATCAAGTTTATGGCTAGCCAAGGTGATTTGTTATGCCTACCTTTTTGAAGGGTTCCTCCAGATTCGTATTGAATGCTACACTGAATTTGGGCAAATAAATTTCCACCTTTTGTGAGCTGAAGCCTTCGTCGAGAACGGCCACCAAATTTTTGTTCTTCAGGGATTGCAACAAATCACGCAAACCGTCTTTGCGATTGGGCAAAATGATAACCATGGAGAAGTCTGTGTTCTGATAGGGCAGTTCAACAGCCTTGGCATCCAAATTTTTGTATTCGCCATAATTGAAGTTATTCAAAGTCCACATGGTGTCTACTTGATAGGTTTGACGACCGCCAGCGGAGAAGGAACGGCGCGATGTCTTGTCGGTACGGAAAGCCTTCTGCCAGGGTGCACTGAAGCTAATGCCATTGACGATGACACCCTCAGTCAGGTCCTGCAGCAAGTTATGATCCAAGATGTTGGTTATTTTGCCGGCCGTTTTGGTTTCCATTGCCTTGTTGATGCGATCGGCTGTTCGCTTGTTGTAGGGTGGATGGAAATCAGCCTTTTCAATATTCGATTCAAAATCTCGCTGGGCAACATCCTTAAACTTTTGTTTGAATTCCAGATTTTCATTGATGTAAATATTGTTGGCCAAACGAATATTATTGCCCCTGGCAAAAGTCTGTTGGAAATCGGCAAATCGGCGTACCACTTGTTCTGGATCACTGGAACCTAAACGCAAACCTGTCTGCATTTCTGTAGCTGTCTTGCCCTTGGCACCATAGAAAGCCAAGGCCATAGAAATTTGCACAGCTGCCGGCGAGACAACAACATTGTCGTTTAGCTTTTCCGAAGCTACGGCATTATAAAAGTCAGCAGCGAATATATTGCGGTCAATGGTCTGGGCAACATTGGAGGCCAGTGATGAAGTGGTAGCTGCTTCACCCAATCCCACAATGGCCACGATCGTCACAACTAGAGCTAGAAAGACAATGATTTATTTTTGACCTCCATCGCTTCTTCTCTTTTTTTTTGTTATATATGATAAGTTTAAGAAAGGGGAAAATCTTACACAAGTAGCACTTCATATTTTTTAGACTAACTAAACCACTTCTAGCACTTATTTGAATTTTATGTCCACTCCTCTAAATGTAAATCAATACTAACGCCTTATCACATGAACTAGTCTAATTTTCTTCGAAGCAGATGCCCAGCGTTTAGTGTAAATTTTAAGAAAAAATTGAGTGAGCTTTTTTCGTTACACTGCGAAAAAAATGAGTTATATCGGTTTGGAGTGAGTGAAAAAAATACTTAAGGTGGCTGATATTTATTGCATTTTTACAGATAGTTGAATTGTGTTACATAAGCTATAAAAGAATGAATGCGCTATGCATTGTTTATCAAATAACAACCAAACTCAAAGAGAACATACTCCAATACTATTGTTATTTATGAATTGTTACGGTAAGGGCCTTTTTTGTAAACGCAGCTTTTGAGTGAGTGAGTGAGTAGGTTTGCACGACTTAAGGTATTGAAAGTGTACCGACAGATTATATAATTTTTGGGTATTGTGTCTCATTTTTACTGGAAATGTATCAACTTTGTAATTTAAAGTTCCTAATGAGTGCTACAGCCTCTGACCGAAATTTGCCTATGCACGTCCACGTCTTCAGGTACGACCCATATAACGGTATCTCCCTGTAATCGACATTTTTATGATTTTTGAATTTCTTAGTGGGTACTACAGCATATGACAGAAAATTGCATATGCAGGTCCCGGTCTTCGTATAGCTCCCATATTACGGTTCCTCTATATATTTTGTATCTTTATGAGTTTAGCCGAATTTTTCAACGGATGTTATACCCTCCACCCTAGTATAGGGGGTATATTAAGTTTGTCATTCCGTTTGTAACACCTCAAAGTATACATTTTCGACCCCACAAAGTATATATGTTCTTGATCAGCATAAAATTGCATATCGATGTCCGTCCGTCTGTTGAAATCACTCTAGGGTTTGAACGAAATCAAGTAGGTTAATACAATTTTACTCATTACGACATTATTCACCGGAATTGTTTCAAATTTGGTATTTGAAGTTCGCAATGGATACTTCAGCCTAAAACAGAAAATTGTCTGTGCAGGTCTACGTCTTCGTAAAGCCCCCATATAACAGTACCTCCCGATATTCGGTATTTTGTTCATTTTAGCGACATTTTTCTCTGGAATTGTTTCAAATTTGGTACTTGTAGTTCGTAATGGATACTACAGACTATGACAGAAAATTGTCTGTGCAGGTCCACGTTGTGGTACAGCTACTGTACCTCCCTATACTCGGTATTTTGATGATTATAACTACATTATTAACCGACTTTTTGTTTCAAGTTTCGCATTTGAATATTGTAATGGCTTATGACAAAAGTTGCCTACGCAGGTCCACGTCGTCGGATAGACCCTAATATAACGGCTACATTCGGTGGTTTTAAGATTTTAACAGAATTTTTAACGGATTTTTTTTTTGAAAATTGCCAAATTCGTTCAAATGGTGGAGGGTTTTCAATGTTCGGCCCTTCAAAACTTATTGGGTTTTTTATACTCGCGATTATATGTTATTTTCATGCTATTTAATTCGAATATGAAAATTTTGAATGTATTCAATATTGAGAAGTAAAAAACGGACATTGACTATAAACTTTATGTAAGTTATAATTTTCAAAATCGGACGGATAGAATCCGAATGTCGTAAAACGGATTTCGTCAAATGAGTGAGTTGTTCTAGAACCTTTATTCCCATGAGGTAAATTTTGGCTGTAACAAATGATATGTCTCCATATTACTAAGGATCGCACTAGATGACTATAAGTTTGCCTATAATCGCATATTTTCTGCAAGTTTCACGGGATTGAAAATGGGATATTTTAGTCAAAATTGTGACCAAAAATAATTGTACCGCACGATTTCGGAAACTTGAACGGATTTAACCACATTTTTAAATTTTGAAGGTTTTACCTCATTTGTCCATGGAATTGGCTATAAAAAAGTACAGAAATCGGTTCATGTTTTAGAGTAGACCCCATTCAATGGGTCTAAACGATTTGATGTATATTGAAAGTTTTGGCAACCCATTTAATGAAAATAGTTATTATTTTGTATTGAGGTTTCCCATTGGGTATATCCACTCGATATTGAAGATGCTGAATCTATTTGGCTATGGAATTGTTTGTGGTTTGCCACATAGGTTACGGGTACATCAAATCTGTACAAAAGGGTCTCAAAGTGTAATTCAACCCCGTACAAAATGTTTTAATAGGTTTTCATTTTCGTAAAGTTCTTTATAACGGTTCCGCCCAATACCGGACGGAGATACCTAAGAATACTTACTTCTGGCATAAGTTGCTCACTGGCTTTTGCCAGTGAGGCTGAATATGGAATTTGAATATTTTGTGTCCAAAATGTTTATTACGTTGTCTGAACTAGAATAAATAAAACACAAATGTTAAAAAAAATCGTGAAAATTTTTAATGTGGTAAAGTATATATTGTGTAGATGGCCCCCGCGGCTTTGTTGGCATACACACGATCTTTTTATGAAATTTTCAATCATCGTTTTGCATAAATGAGTCATCGTCGGCTTATTCGCGTAAACCATCGACTTCAGATAAACCCCAAAGAAAAAAATATTTAAAGGTGTTAAATCGCACGATCTGAGCGGCCAATTCTGGTATCCAAAAAGCGAAATAACGCGACCGAGAATTGACTGATGAAGCACAAGCCCATCACATTAATTTCTACAATCCTACCCCAAAAAAGCTGGTTATCAATTCCGATTTCACAATTGAGTTCCATTTGGAATACCCTAGATTTGATCAATTGTTTTGACCAATATGAAATAATTTAAAAGATCTTCATTAGGACTAATTTCTTTGAGTGTATGTCAACGGCACAAGTATGATTTACTCAATTCCATTCGTATGCAAATCGTTGTCATATTAATATACATGCTAGCTTTAAAATAAATTAGAGTAACGCCATTGAAGTGTAGCACCATGTTCGAACTAAATATTCCCTACACATCCGATGTAGGTGATTTACTTTAGGTCTACCCTTGTTATTTTCCAATGAAATTCCAGGAAAGTGACTAATTTGTAAACACATTCAATAAAGTTTGTGTAGCGCAAAATAATATTTATGCATGTTGGTGTGTTAATTAGTACTAATTTGTTAAGAAAAAGAAAACAACAACGACAATACAAGTTGATAATAGCTCAAAAATGCCTGCCTACCCTCTGCGTAGAGAACAGGTTTGTTTTGTAGTAACCGAGACGCCGGCATAATTGAGTGGAATTTTATTGAAATCATTGTTATATGGAATGGTCGAATTAAATTATAAAACTGCATTGACACATTCCTGACCTTTCTTTCGTTTTGATTGATATTTCTATTTACATCATCTAGGCTATTTTTATTATATTATTATTGAGACAATTACTTGTATCAATAAAGATCTTTTGCAAAAATTGGAAAAAAAATAATAAAATAAAAAAATTGGCGCTAAGCATGACTTGCCCGATATTTGATGTTGAAATATACAGGTCCACTCTTTCTGGTATGTGCTTTCACAAAAGCTCGAAGAAGGAATCATTTATCTAAATAAAACGAATAGAGTACCCAATAGAATCGAAATTTGGTGACATTTAAATCAAAGCTATCATCGAAAATATTGACTCACTGACTCTCCTCCTCCCAAAAAAGAGAGATTTTCGAGCAATAATAACTCTCGAAAAATATAAAATGAGTTTCCAATTTTCTTCAAACTTCGCATATCCTAATTAGACGGTACTACATGATCACAACTTTCGTAAAATTCGAAACTATCCCAAGTATCAATTGAGTTCAAATGCTTAAGGTATGTGTCAGTCGGAACACCGAGAGAAAGTTCGTTCCATGGTAAATTTATTAGGAGTTCCAGATTGTACAAATTATGTTACTTCCTCCTTAAGTGTACTAGATGTACTAAAACGTACTAAAAATGGAATCCATTGTATTGGTCAAGGGAATGAAGGTAGAATTCCGAAATTTAGAATTAAGCTCTCCGATGGGATGTAGGACAGATTCACTAAAGGTATTTTTTTTTTTTGTAATCCGTTACCATTTTGTACCATTTGACATTGTGCAAACGGATAGAGCTAAAATGTAGACATTTGGTATAAGAATTATGAAAATGTAAGAAATGTATTGATACTAAATTTGGCACAATTTGTATTTGGGTCACAGATGGAGCTGGAGATTTTAACTGTTGACATCGTTAGTGTGTAGGGTTGAGATAAGAAAAGGTTTTTTCTAAATATGTACAAAAAATTTTCAAAATTACTAAATGGCATAAAATTTGGTGTTTGCGAAAGGGATAAAGCTGGATATCTAAAATTGATGCATGATTGTTAATTTTTACTTTGTTTAGTTTTTAGTGCAATTTGAAATTAGGTATTTGATTTTGTGTAGGATAGAACTAAAAGGTTTTTCGAAATTGTAACAATACGTGTACCAAAATGCTAAAATGGATTTGAGTGAACGGATGAAGCTGGAAGTTTTAAAAGTTTATATTAGGACTGGTTTTAGTGTGTAAGGTTGAGATTTGAGGGTGGTTTGGGAAATATGTGCAATTAAATTCGTAAAGTACTAAATGGTACCAAATTTTGTTCATGCGGAAGGGATAGAGTTAGAAATCTGCAATTTAGTATTGGTGTCACTTTTTGTGAGGAAGTGTATTCTAAAAAAACGTAGTAAAAAATACTAAATGTTATCAAATTAGGATATGAGTACGAGATAGAGCGGGAAATCTGAAATTTAATATTAGGTTAACATTTTATGAAGTGTGTTAGATATATGGAAATAGATTTTTAAGAACATTCAAAAACGTACGAAAAGTACTAAATAGCATTAATGTTGGTATTAAGGGAAGGAATAGAACTGGAAATAAGAAGCTTGGATTGGAGGTCTTTATTGTTGTATAGGATCGATGAACTAAAGACTTCCAACAAAAAGTGTAACAAAAGTACTAAAATGCTCTACATTAGGATTTGGATAAGGTAAGAAATTTAGTATGAAATTCAAGGTAGGAAGCAGGGTTGATATAAAGTGGTAGTTTTGGAAATGTGGTTTAAATGTAAGAACTGCAACAAAGCCAAACGCCATAATTGTTTCCTTTTTTTAAATTTTATTGAATGAAAGCAAAATATGTTGGAAATAGTATCAAATTTTAGAATAAATTCAGATTTGTTAGAATAGGTCACCTTTGGCACGAATAATGCCCTTCAAACGGCCAATGAAACCCTCACACGCTGCCCGAATGTTGCTCTGCGGTATTTTGGCACATTCCTGGCGAAGCGCTTGCTTGAGGTGATCGACACTTTGGTATTTTTTAGTGGCAGCCTTGTTTTCCAAAATACTCCAGACACAATAGTTTAACGGATTGGTAGCCAAAGATGAAGAGAAGAACCTCATTTTGTAACCATTCTTGAGTGGCGAGTGCTGAGTGCGATGGTGCTGAGTCCTCTTGGAATGCCCAAGGTCTGCGGCCAAAATGTTTGCGTGCCCAAGGCTTTAATACACCCTCCAGAATATTTTCACGATTGTATTCGGCATTTATTCTGATGCGAGCGGAGAGCGACCATCGGCTGTTATGGCGGCCCACAACATCACCATGGCCGGCGCTTGAGTTCTGGTGGCCAACCAAAGGTGCACATTTTCAGCAGATCATTTTGTTTGTTTACAAACCGCTGGACAATGAATGTTTTCTCATTGAAGAAACCCAAATTCGCCACTTTCGGCCACGCCAACGCTTTAGCTCTTTTGAGTCTATTTCCTTTCAATTGCTTATTTTTCAATATTTGCTGAATGGAATAATGCGATATGCTCAGCTCACGAGCCAGCCACCTTCGGCCACTGCGACGCGTGTTTCGATCAAATCGAACCATTTCTGCTGATGCTGCTGTTTTCTTCCGTCCACTTCCTTGACGTCGGGCTACGCTACCAGTATCACGGTAACGAGTGATGATACGAGACACAAAAGACTTATTCACATTTAAATGCTGGAGTGCTCTAACGATAGCCACTTGGGGTTTTCCAGCCAAATAAAAATAAATCACACTATCATGCTTGAATTACATCATAAATAACTGGAAATTTCTCACCAAAATGCTTTTGTACGCTTTAAACACTGCAATAATTTTAACAGCTGTCGAACGAGTGGCTTAAAAATGACAGCAGTCTGAAGATGGTTGTAGTTTTTTCATCTCACCCTGTATCTACGAAAAGTTCTAAATGTTACTCAATTTAGCTTATAGCATGGAAAAAGAAGTGGTATTATGAATTTAAGTATTAAGACAACTGTGAATGTTTTTAGATAAGGAGTCGAATTTGGAAATTCCCAAACGTGTAACGTGTAAGAAAAACAGTTATTAAATGGTACAAAATTTGAGAATTTGAGCAATAGAGTGTAGGAAAGAACTAAAATTGTGCATATTGTTATATAAATCAGTTTGGATTGCTATTTGGATAAAATGATTAATTTTGAAACCCTTAACATAACTTATACGAAAAGTAAGTGAATTAGAAATTAATTCATTATGTAATATATTTGAACGGAAGTAGACTGGTGAGCCAAACGGGGATAATTTTAATGTTGCATAAATATTCTATTTTCGATGCAATTTTTTGGATTTCAGTTCTGTTATACTACCGTATTTCTAATCATTTTAGTCTGTGACACACATATACAAAAATAAAGCTAGCCAGAAAACAAAATTCTGTATGTTATACATGGTTCGAAGGCATCATCTTTGACACTTTAATTTAAGTGAAAAATTCAAGCACTTAATTTACAAACTGCATGACAAGATTGCGTTTCCATAATATTAAGTTTCTCTAGATTTCCGATATGCTAAGTTGTTGCAAATAATAAAGGTTTGTTTCTTTTTTCTCTATTTCAAAGTTTATAGTAAAATATTTATGTTATTGTGCAACACTTACTGGCAAAAATGCATTACCGGCATTTCACGTTGCTATGTGGGTGGAACATATTTTAAATTTGAGAAGTGGAAATGTTTTGGTCTTGAGAAAAAATACAAAAGACAAGTTGAACAATAAACTTTTAATACTAATGAGACTCATGACGCCGTAAAGTGTCCATGAATGTGAAAATGGCATGTGTTTGGAGGTAAATGAAAATATTAGGAACACAGAGCAAACTTTTAGTAAAATAGATAGAGGTACTACATGAAGATTTCCAGTATTCTCAGCATGTAAATTTTTAGTTGAGAGAGCAGATATAAAAATCAATGTTAATGTAGGCATTTAGTAAGAAAATTATTACTTGCCAATTAATTTGGGCTGAATTCAATTGAAGAAAATTTAATTTTATAAATCTTGTAATTTTTAAAATTGTATTTATTTCCTTCAAAAATATATATATCACCTTATTTTATTTTTAAAAATCGACAATATGTCCCATAAAATATACAGCTCTCGAATTTCGTATAACAAATATAAAGGGGTGATCAACCGTAAACCGCACTAAGCCCACTGGAATTGACAGGGGAACTATTTTTGCAACTGTAAAATAATATTATTGAAGTTAGTGTTTATATTATTGATTTTTATTTATATACGTAATACTTACAAGTGGTTGCTGCTGCCTCTGTGCCAGCTTCGTTGACATTTATTACAGTCTTGTGCCTCATTTGATCCACAACCAAGGGTTCCGATGGATGTTTGAATATATTGATCCGAGAATCCCGGTTAAAGAGAGAACGCAACCCCAACTATGAATGCAAATATTTTGAAAGAAAATTATTACATTTTAAAAAATTATAAATTTCTTAAATAATTATACAAAATACAAGATTTTCAATTTTGAATCCTTGATAGTAACTGGAACGAAACAACAATATTTGCAGGACAAAAACACCTAAGGCCAGAATTGTGAAAAGAAAGGAGACCACGATTTAATTCAAATATCCTCGCCGATTTTACTTGCCTGCCCCCAATTTGCACCAGAAGGTGCGGGATAACCATACTATATTTTCAGATCTTTAGAACTTCAAACCCAATTTTTAACCAATTGTGCTATATTTTTATAATTTGGATTCTCATTAAAAGAGTCGACCTATGCATTTGTCTTTGTGCATTTGGATCCATTGTTCCTTTTGACGATCTTCATATAATCATATTCTGAGTCGGTTTATGCATGTCTGTCCATCTGTCAGTTCGTCCGTCTGTCCATGTATTTTTGTAAACAAAGTACATGTCGTATTTATTGTCAGATTGAGATAAAGTTTTCAACAAATCAAGGACGAAATTGAAATTGGTGATAATCGGATGAGATTTGGATTTAGCTCCCATATATAGTGTCGATCTATTTCAAAAAGTATTGTGCACCAAATATCAGTCCGAATTAAATGAATTTGTGCACACTCAATTTTGGTGAATATTTTCGTTCGATTTCAATTTTATTGTGCGCCATGTGTGTAATTTTTGTCCAAATGGAATGGATTTCGTCACATCCGATTGAGTCATCTCAGAAGTAAGTACTTCAGATTTAGGGAAAATCGGTTCTGATATAGCCATAGCTTTCACACATATATTTCTTCCGATTTGGGATTTTTGTCCCTCCCATTCGTAATATGCACTCCTCAAAATAATGTTTTGAAACAGATATCAGATAAATTCCAGAAATACCTCTACCAAATTTCATCGAGATCGGTTCAGATTTGAATACAACTCACATATATATCGTTATCCGATTCCAGTTTTATATAATACCAATACCAATGGAGTAGATTTTTGCACATACGACCAAATTCAGCCTAGGAGAATTTACTTTGAAGTTCGTGAAAATCGGTTCAGATATAGGTATAGCTTCCATATATATGTCTCATTCGATTTGGTTATTTGGACCACAACTATGATATTTGGCACCAAATAGGAGATATAGCTCAGAAATAGCTCTCATATATATCAGTCCAAATTGGAGAGATTTTTGCATATTCGACTGAATTTATTCTGAAAGCAAATACGAGATTTGATGATATTCCGACATAATTTTTAATGTAATCCTTCATGTCTATGTATATAACCTCCATTGCAAATAATTTAATACTACACATCATAAATGATCCTAATTTATTACTTTCTAACATTTATTCCCTTAATTTTCCCTTTGAGAGAATTCTGGTTTACCCATCGTTTAATACGTCATTTAGTACGCTGTAGTTCTGTTATTATCCATTTAGTTAAAATTTCCAAAAAACACGGTACAATCTCACCCCTAAAGGTGAACTAAAGGTGCCCAACTGCTTAATATCTAAGAACAGAATGTAATACCCCTTTAGATTGAATCTCCAAAAATGCGCCGTTATTGGACGGCTTCGGCGAAACATTCCAAATTTTAGAATTTTTTCTGTAGTTGTTATATAAAAAGTTCCCTTTATCACTTTTCAAAAAAACCAGTAAAGATAGTCCTAAAGTCGGGCGGGCCGACTTTTTGATACCCTACACCACTTTGCTAATTTAGTAGAGCTCCACATAAAAATTCAAAGTTTTTATGGGAGAATTCAATCATACACCCTATGATTATAATTTAAAATTCAAAGGACTAAATATGCCGAAGCATTTGTACCTTTTAAATTCGGACTTGTATTGATAAAGATATATATCGGAGATAAAGATATATATGGGAGCTATATCTAAATCTGAACCGATCTCGATAGAATTTGGCAAATATATTTCTGAGCTTTATTATATATATTTCCCTGATTATCGTTGTTACGGAGTGCATATTACGGCTGTGTGTAACAAATACAACAAATCGGATGAACAATATATATGGGAGCTATAGTTATATCTGAACCGATCTTCACCAAATTTGACATACTACCTTCTAGACTCAATTCGATCGTATGTGCACAATCAAAGGTAAATCGGACGAAGTTATATATGGGAGCTATATCCAAATCTGAACCGATTTCGAAATTTAGCAAAGGTATTTCTGAGCTGCATTTGATATATTTCCCCAAATATTGTTGTTACAGAGTGCATATTACAGCTGCGGAGGACAAAAATAACAAATCGGATGAACAATATATATGGGAGCTATAGCTATATCTGAATCGATTTCGATCAAATTTGGCATACTTATTTTCAGGCCTAATTTGGTTGTATGTGCAAAATTCCATACTATTCGGGCTGATATTACACGTTTGGTGCACAATAAAAGGCAAATCGGACGAAGATATATATGGGAGCTATATCTAAATTTTTACCGATTATCTCCAATTTCAATAGGGTTCGTCCTTGGGCCAAACAAATGTTGTTTGGAAATTTTCATCTCAATCGGATAATAAATGCGACCTGCATTTTGTTCACAAGACTACATGGACAGGCGGACGGACGGACAGACGGACTGACATGCATAAATCAACTAAGAAAGTGATTCTATGCAGATCATCAAAAGGAACTATGGGTCTATCTCGTTTCCTTTTGTCTGTTACAAACAAATGCACAGAGACATAATACCCTGACCACCTTGTGGTGTAGGGTATAAAAACGCTGTATTCCAACCTGCACACTAACAGCGAATCATATGTCAACTTTCTAGGTTCCAGCTTTATATGTTCAATCAATACAACTATTCAATATTTAGTACCTTTGAGCTATTTTTGTTCGAAAATCAAACATCGAATTCAAAATCCTACCTTTTTGTTCTCTATGTACCATGGGACGATATTTGGTACCTTCAAGTACCTTACAAGAAGAGTTTCATATCTACACACCAATAGTGATATAAATACCAAATTACATAATTATATAGTGACACGATATTTAGTACACGAAATAAAGTACTTAAAGCTCGAAAAAATGGAAATTCCATCTTAGTATGCTTTCGCACAAACTTGGTCTGATGCCTTCATAAGTTAGAAAGCTTATTTGTAAAACAATGCAACAATTAAGTACAGATTTTCATGTCAATCTCTCCTAGTCAATTAAAGCTTTTGTTCTGGTTTTCCAAATGTAATCTATTTCTATTTTAAGTTCAATTTGATGTACAAACATACGTGTTTTACACAATCCTATTAAGAAATATAATGATAATATTCTTATGAAAGCCCCTATGGAATTTCCACTATTGTTTATTGTATAAATCAAGAACAATATGACCTTAATAGCGTTTTATAGCCATTTCGAATAGACGCCATAATACTTGCTGAACTGAATCAGTCGAAAAAATCGCTTTTATCTGGTATATGTGCAGAGATCTTAACATAAGTGGTTAATATAAATCCATTTGTGGGATCATAATATGGAATTTCAAGACTTGCCGCTAACAAAAAATCAACAACTTTAAACTTTCTAATAGACAGTAAATTTTGCATTATTGCTGCAATATCAAAAAAGACCAGATTGAATTGTGTTAAACGATTAACAACTTCCCGTGTTAATAATTAATCGCAAAAACTCAGAGATCGCGAAGACTCTAAGAATGTTCCGCCAAGATATAAAATTAAGTTCGAATTAACTTTAGAAACGTTTAGTTGAGGAAAATCTTTCTTTGTAGGAGAGAGAAAGAGAGAGTAAGGAGGTTGAAAATTTAGAAACATTTGGTCCCACCGTGTCTTTTTATTTTTATTCATATTAAAAAACAAGTAAGCAAAGGCTATAGTCGTGCGCGGCTGACCATGTGATACCCTACAACAACTTTAATATGTTGGAAGCCCCTGAGGTCCAAAAGGTTTTCAACCTGTAGATGAACTGCAAAGTCAGAAAAATATTAATTTTCGCACTCCTAAATATACATCTTCAAAAACAATGGGCTTCAATTCTGATCCTAACCCTAGCCCCATACACAATTTCGTGAGGGTCGGACTTTGATTGCGACTTGTATATAAAGATCTGAACACATATTCAGTTCAGAAATGTTTATATTCTTTAACATAGGAGTTATGGTCTGTTTGACCAGCAGATGATCAAACAAAATGGTAGACCCAGCCCTAGACTCTAACCCAATGCTAAATTCCCTGTCAATTGGTCTATAATTGCGAACTGTGGAGCAGCTGCAAAATAGGGTATTTTTCTGTTTTTGGTCCATTTTAATCCCTAAATATTTTGCAGTCATCTCCGAAAACAATAGGCTTATATTCTGATTTTAAACTCACCTCTATGCAAAGTTTCGTGAGGATTGGACCATAATTGCCACCTGTAGAGTAGACAATAAAAATTACCCGCAAGTAAACTTGGCTCAGCACTAAAGCAAAACTGGCAACGTAACTCTTCGAAATGAAGAAGTAGGAGAAGATAGAAAGTGCGAAAACAATAAGTTTGGCAGGCCCAAACTTGGAACACCCTCCACTATTTGGAATGAATTTGTAAATTTTCAATAAAATGCCTTTGAAAAATACCGCTAGTCATAAAAAACTAATATAGGGAGTTACTGCTATATTGTGGCCTAAACGAACGATCTGTGTATGCAATTTTTGTCATAAGTCAGTACGATATTCAAATACGAAATTTTTAACAATTTCGGAACAATGTCGCTAAAATCAACAAAATATCGAATAAATACAGGTACCGTTATATGGAACTTATACGAAGGTGTGGATCAGTATCGAAAATTTTCGATCACAGGCTGTAGCACCCATTACGAAACTTCAATATAAAATTTTGAAGTAATTCCGGTGGATAATGTCGCTAAAATCATCAAAATACCGAATTTAGGAAAGTACCGTGACATGAGAGCTATACCTCTGTACCTCTATTAGCAATTTTCTGTTATAGGGTAAGTGCGCCTAAGTTCGGCATGTCCCAGTGGTCGGCAGTTTTGAAATTTAAAATTAAATAACTTAAAATGGAATTGACCAAATAATAAAATAATTGCGAAAAACGTTAACAGTGTTCTCTGCTCTCTTTATGTAAAAAAACAATGAGCTTCCATCATTTACTACGAGAGAATAACGGTTTTTGTCAGTGAGTGTCTTGCAACATGTGCGATTGTGCTTGTTTGTAAAGAAAAAATTAGTGGTGGCGTCAACTTAATAATCGATTTAAGTAAATTAAATTTAATACTTTTGGAATCAGAAATAGTTTATAATAGTAAATAACAGTCTAAAGATCATTTTATAACTTAAAAAACATACATAACCAAGCTTTTTTCTCTTATATTATTTAATGCCGACATTAGGAACAGAAAAAAAGAGATTTGCCAGTAGTCGGCAGGGAGTGCCGATTACTAGAAAAATATCATTTTTGACCTATTTCACCAAAACTTGAAAAAAGTATTAAAAAATAATCCAAAAACTACACAAATACAAAAATAGTTTTGAGTCGGCAGTTGCTTTTATTTGTGCTTTTTGACCCACTTTTCTAAATTAAGTAGGTTTTTTTAAATCAGCAATTTGACGTTTTAGATAGCGGTGGCATTTTAAAAAAATGTTGGTTATCTAAAGGAAAAAGATCAATTCACAAATTCCAAATATAAGAAAGGTACTTTTTTATTTAATATCATTTTTATTTTAATTGAAAATCCATTCTATTCTTGATTTTCTACCTATATTTGGTTTAAAATGATAATTAAATAAAACACTATTTAAAAACGAAATTAGTTAATTAAACTGTGAATTAGTATTGTTTTATACTATTTGAAATAAAAAAATATACAAAATAATATTTTTTTAATGAAATAATATATGCAGACTACTGGCAAATAGACATGCCGAGCATTGGAAAATGGTGCCGACTACTGGCAAAAAACTTTTACTACTTTTTTGGTAAAATTGCAAATTTTGCCAATTTAATAAAACCAAATTCAGTTGTTTTTTATTATTTCGAAAACTAAACAAAATATGGAATCTGAACAACTTTATTTTTCTGCAATTGAAAGATTTCACTCAGAATGTCGAAAGATTGAAATATTGAAAAGCCTAAAAGTGCCGACTACTGGTACACTTACCCTAGTACCCTTTTGGAAATTCAAATTTCAAATTTGGAGGAACTGTTATGTGGGACTATAGGAAAACCCCGATCTATACTGAAACCTCTCGGCAAAAATATTTCTTTCACAATGAGAACATATACTGCCACTTTATTGCAAATTCGGGTTAAAATTGTGACTAAAACACCCAAAAAAACTCAAATCTGCCGATACATCCCATTTTCAATACTAAAAGTCCTGCAAACTTATCACACGCCTGAGTAAAATGTTATCAACCTTTCTTTGACGGACAGACAGACATGTTGTGGGGTCAAAAATATATTCATTTAGAGTTGTTATAAGTCACAACCTCCACTTACTATGGTAGAGGGTATAAAAATAAGAACAGCTTTTAATTCGGCCAATTCAAACTCCATATATCATTTACCTTAGGAATCAAAATTGAGTCCATGTCGGTAAGACTTATGACTTAAATATAATCGGTTGAGAAATAATAATCAGATTTTTTGAGTGCCAATAATTAGGCGGCGTCGTTTAGGGATTGCAAACCATGAACCTATATTGGACTTTTTTGGAGAAAAGGAGCTTTACTCCTTAACATTTTGAAATATCAAGTTAAATACACTTCTTCCAGACAATTTCCGTAGGACCTTCAAAGCATAACATAACATAAATCCGATCAGTCATATGTCAAAATCTGGAATTGTTTTTGTTAAGAGTGAGAATATCACTTAAGAAACAATATCACCAAATTACAGCTAATTTGGTTACCGGTTACCAGGAAGGGCTACCCAAGGCTCCTTTCCCCCCGAATACTTCCCTGATATGGGGTATCTACCCGAATTTTGTTCTCAACGGTTTTTTAGAATTCCCTTCCACTCTCTAAGTACAGCACATTTATAAATTCTGCGTTAGATGTACTACTCACCTGTTGTAATGTGTGTATCATGTCCGCCTCAAATTCAATTTTAAATTTCGGTATTTTTGCAATAACTTCACGCGTCTCCAATCGATATGAGATCAGTTTCAAACTAATTTCCGATAAGCGTCTTTCAACCTCTGCCAAACCATCGATATCCTTGGGCAATATTATCATCATTGTGAAGTCATCGAGTTTATAGGGTATTTCTAACACCGTCGCTCCCAGCTGTTCAAAACTACCATAACGGAAAAGGTCTTCAGTGTACATGGTCTCCACTTGAATCTCTTTTCGAGGATTTAAAAAGAATGGTCGCATCGTCGTATCGTACAGGGCAAATTTGTTCTCCCATTCACTTTTGAAATAAACCGAGTTGACCAACAATGCCATAGTGTTGGACTTCAAAGAATCGGCGTTGACAATATTCTCGATAAGATGTCGTGTTTTATCCGATACCCAGGAATTAATTTTATCAGCGGCCTTAGAAGGCAATAGAAAATCCACAGATTCTAGATCGGTGGCATACACACTTTGAGCAGAATCGAGCACATTTCTCTTCAGAAAACCGTAACGCTCGTCAAAGTAGAGTTTATTTCCAAAGATGATTGTATTATTGGCATCGGTGTTCTCTGTTGGCAGTTGGGTTAACATCTGATATGTTTTGGCCACTAGTGTTTGATTCTCTGGCAAATCCAATAACCGGGAGAGTTCATCGTGTAGTTTGCCCTCGGAAACGGTGGAAAGATATGTTAACAATGTCTGCACCGACAATGGGGAAATACACAGATTTTGATCCTTTGTTGTCCTCGACATCAGCTGATATAGTTTGACATCAAAACTGTCCGAGGGTATTTTAATATTCTGTGTTTCATTGGGGAAGTAGATTCGTGTCGGTGCCGGGGTTGTCTTGATCTTTTCAACGTATTTTGTTTCTGCTGTCTCTCTGTCATCAAATTGTTTCCTACCACTGAGGAGTGCAATACATTCCGGGGAAGTACACTGAGCGGCAACCAAGTGCAGGCTTGTCGTGGCAATTAGAACTGAAATTAGTCAATACAAAATTGTACACAATTTATAAATATTCTTTTGGTAAATGCTTTTATTTTTATCTTACAAAATTTCCATGCTTTATTAACGCCGGAGCTGCATTCTTTTTTCATTGTAAATTTGTTGTTTTATTTTTTGTTTTGATTTTCTTGATTTGCGTTACGTTTAAAAACCTGATTGCTGCCTTACTCTCTGCCGTATACTGACTGAAACTTCATTGAATATTCTGATTTTATAACGTCATGGCTTTGCAAATATTCTCGTTATCATCTGAGTTCTCTTGGGGTTTTTTGCTGTATTTAAATAAGAGTAAGAGATTTGTGCCACAGCTACTGAGCGTTGTGTTAATCTCGGTGTGGTCAATGAATTATTCTCTTTCTGGAATAAAGTTCTTTGCCATGAGGGAATCTAAGCTTATGGGTTTTTTCTTGCCTTTTGCCAGGGGACTTTGATGTTTTTCGTAGGAAATTGTGGCAAATAATTTACATACACATGAATGTATGTTGGTATTTCGGAATATGAGTTTCGTTGGGATAATTTCTAGGCTTTGATAGCTTACATCTTTTACCCTCCACCATAAATAGTATGGAGAATATATTAAGCTCGTCATTCCGGTTGTAACTCATCGAAATAATCATTTTAGCCCCAATAAAGTATATATATTCTTGATCAGCGTAAAATTCTAAGACGATTTAGCCATGTCAGTCCGTCCGTTTGTCCGTCTGTTGTAATCACGCTTCAGTCAAAACGAGTTAAGATAGGAAGCTAAAATTTTGCACAGATCTGTCTTTTGTCTGCAGGCAGGTCAAGTTCGAAGATGGGCTATATCGGTCCATGATATCGTATAGCCCCCATAGAACGGTACCCCCCGATATTCGGTATTTTGATGATTAAAGCCACATTTTGCAATGGAATTGTCTGAAAATTCGCACAAGGAAATAGATTTGTCTTTACAGGTCCACAATATCCTATATCCCCCATATATCGGCACCTTCCAATATTTTTAAAATTTTAACAGAATTTTTAATGAATATTATCTATATATATAAAAATCAATTGTTGTTTGTTGGTAACGGCATCAGTTGAAAACGGCTGGACCGATTTGCATAATTTTTTGTACAAACATTTGTCATTCCTCGAGTTAGGTTTTTAAAGAAAAAAATATTGACCACGCCTCCTTTTACGCTTACTATTTCGATTTATCTAAAATCTTTATATTTCCCAAATAAAGAAGATATTGGTTTAAAAATTATTACACGAGATACTGTTGACCTTCCCTCCAACCCTAAGTATTTGTTTGGGGGCTGAGGAACTGACCACGCATACTTTTTACTCTCTCTATACATTTATATATAAATGAATGTTGTGTTAGTTACTACGCTTATAACTAAAGAACCGCTGAACTGATTTTAATGATTCATACAAATTCGGAATTGTCTCTTATCCGAAAAGTATAATATTCAAAAAAAATCGCGTAAAAATGTGATATATTAACATTTTCATTTTGACTTTTGAAATGTACAATAGTAATGTTTTATTTTACATGATTTTTTCCATTTTGACTTACTTTTTTCTAATTTACATTTGTAGTGTTTTTTATATTTTATTTTTGAATTCGAATATTAATACCAACTTATTTAATTGACTTGATTTCTTCAGAACTGAAATTGATGGCGGTTTACATGGAAGTGTAGTACCGAATTATGTGGTGGCGAAACGGAATAGATGATACCGATATAATTTAATGCGGTCACACCAAAGTTAAAAGATAATTACTTTTTCAAAATCGTTAAAAAATCACGAAAAAAGAGATCTCATTGCAACAATTCTCAAAACGGGAAAATATCGAAAAAATTTCCGATGGAATTGAATTTTAAAATAAAAGTACATTCTATTGACAAACTTTGTAAGGATCTTTAAACAGTTGCTGTAAAAAATCAGCGAACAAGTTGAAGATTTTTTTCAATTTGTTATTCTTCTTTTGTCAATTTTTTTCAATTTGTATTATCATATTGAATTCAGTGGATTTTTTGTGAACAAAATAAAGACAAATTTTTCACTATATACAATTTTTCACAAAAAAATGAAATAAGTGCGAAATACGATGGTAACTGACATCTACCTTTCAACTCCAGGGCCTACATCGTGCTTCAGCTGGAAGATGCGCAGACATTTAAACAAACAAAAATGACCGAAAAAGACTAATGGGGCTTATTTCAAAGCGTGGACCTAATTAATTCATGTGACAATAATCCGTCCAATGAGAGCTCAAAATGCAAAAAATTTTGGGAGTACAATCAGTAAAATACCAAATATAAAGGGTGCAAAATAGTAGAGCGAATGGGACTTTTAGTAAGAAAAGGATTTCTATCCTTCCAAAAATTCTTCCTGAACATTTAAGATATCTTAAATCGCTTTTGCAGGTCATGATATCGATCATAACTTACGGATCAAGGTACAACCCGATTTCATATTTATATAACCATAGTATGATTTACGCTATTTTTGGAGTCTTCGCCACTTTCTTCTATTTTTGGCCCTTATTTGGCATCTTTGTTTCCAAAGGGGTAGAGAACCACTTCGCATAAAATTTTCGGAGTAGGGCCCATATTGGTCTTGACCACTAAAAATTGTATTTATGCTACCCTGGGGTAAGGAACCATCGTACAGATAATTGCCACATAGAAATGTATTCAAATGTATAGAAATGTATTCATGTAAAGTCCCTATATTGGAGTATCCCCAAGTCCACTTTCACATCTAATGTGTGGTCAGAAAAGAAAAATTTGTATTCTATAGATTTGATTCTATAGATGAAATAAATTGTGGAAACATGAACAAATTACAAATATAAGAAAGTAGCACGGGACCGAATATTTGTTGAATCGTCATTGAATTATTCTATGATGAAAAATATGGACTTTATGGGGTCTCCAATTTACAGTTTAAATGGCAAATAAACTTAGTTACCATATTACGGTAATAGATGTAAAATAGTAATTATATTTGACTATTCTGAAATCAGTCTGACCTCGATTATGAGGTGGATAAAACTATTTTTACTTATTTAAATCACGTGATTTTTGATTTTTTGATTTTCACGATTTGGCCTCTATTTGTCATCTTGGATTATAAGGGGTGAAGAAAGTTTTCAATGTAGGTCGATGTTTCGCATTTTACCATATTTCAAAGGATTTGGCTAAAAATGTGTATTTGGGGGTGAAAATCTTAAACAAAAAATTCAACATATCTACAAATTTTAGAATTTTCTCCATGTAATAGTACCCCCTCAAGTCCACCTTTTGGCGGACAAACAGACCGACATGGTTAGGGGGACTTATGAGGACTCTAATGCACAATCTGAGGTGCTAATGGGTTTAAAAAAGTAATTAACTTTGCCTATTCTTAAGTCAATTAGCCCTCTATTATGAGTTGTACAAAGTACAGTAAATTCCAAATTACTGCTCATTTGACTAAAAATTAAAAACTAATCGACCAGTACGTGAACATTTATAACATTCATATCTTTGAATAATTATGCTTTGACAAATATGCATAATAGACAAAAACTACGGGCCGGCAACGCGGACCGGGCCATCTAGTTGTTTTGAAAATTTCCTAATTCATTCCAAATGGTGGAGGGTATTCAAAGTTCGGCCCGGCCGATCTTACCGCTGTTTTACTTGTCTTATTATTAATTGTTTCAAAATACATATTTCTTTCTCGGAATTATAAAAAAAAACAAGTTAAAAGGTATCAGTCGGTTTTGCCGCCAGATTCATACCCTCAGCTAATATCCGTTCATTTAAATATGTTTTTGACTTGAGTTATGATTATTCAAACTTGTGACCCTCTATGGGGGAGGTTCCGAAGGAATGGGCCAGTATAGGCCATTTCGTAGTTAACCCATGTCGGGTATATATATTACAACGTGCCAGATTTGCACTAAATGCACTATTATATATGTGATAATTTTGAGAAAATGTTGAAATGTGCACTTCATAAAATCCTGATAAAAATATTAAATTTGCAAAATGTAGAAAAAGTCGAATATTTATTTCAAATTTTATGCGAATAATTGTTAATCAATATATTTACCTTCTGTTGGGGAGGTGCCATCAGATCTCTGGTTGAAAAAAATATTCGGACATACATAGTTTGAAAACAATTGTTAACTTTTGTCGCAAGTTATGAGGGAGGTAACGGAAGGAGTAGACCGATATCGGTCATATTTATTTCATCTATCAATATTGGGGTGTGTGAAATTTGAAGAAAACCGGATTCTTATTTATGGATCTGGAACGAATATTTTCCAAGATCATACGGTCTCTAAAAAAGCATCGGTATGATACGAAGCAAATGTTCCTACTACATTAAAAACCTAATACGCTCTTTAGATACCTCTAAATGATGAAAAATTTGGCTTCAATCGTCAAAATACCGAATATCGGAATGTACAGTTATGATTGCTATACGATTTCGTTGACCTTTATGGGCAATTCTCTTCCAGTAAAGTACTCGAAACTCAAAGGACAAAGGAACTCCTTGTGTTTATTTTCAGAAAATTCCATTAAAAATTTGGCTAAAACCATCTAAATACCGAAAATAGCGCGGATACCGTTATATAGGGGCTATACGATATCGTGGACCTATATAGGTAATTCTCTGTCAGGAGGTAAAGTGCTAATAAAGGACTCCTTGTGCAGAATTTCAGATAATTCCATTTAAAAATGTGGCTAAAATCATCAAAATACAAAATTTAGGGGTACCGTTATATGGAGCTATACGATATCATAGACCGATATAGTTCATCTTCGAACTTGACCTTCCTGCAGACAAAAGGCAGATCTGTGCAAAATTTTAGCTTCATATCTTAATTCGTTTTGACTATAGCGTGATTACAACAGACGGACGGACGGAGAGGACTAAATCGCCTTAGAATTTTACGCTGATTAAGAATATATACAGGGTGAGTCAAAAAACTGCAACAAAGTCCAATGCCATAATTTTTACAGATTATTTGAAATTTTATAGAATGAAAGCAAAAAAAAAATCGGGAATAGCATTAAATTTTAGAATAGGTTTAAATTTGTTTGAATTGGTCGCCTTTGGCACGAATTATGGCCTTCGAACGGCCAATGAAACCGTCACACGCTGCTCGAATGTTGCTCTACGGTATTTTGGCCCATTCCCGGCGAAGGCTTTCTTAAGATGATCGACACTTTG